AACAGCCAGCTGCCATGTTCCCTTGAACGATATCTCTGAGCTGTGAATCTTTCATTGCGCTACTATGGTGTGTGTGCACCCACAGGATTCATAGTTTATATTCGCATTGCAGTGTGCAAATAGAAATGTCGGCTTCAGCAGTGATTCAATTTTTTCGTAGCGCGTCCTGCAGTGCTGATCCGATATCTTTAGCATTTGTGTGCTGCAGTGGTATTTAGAACTTGTTATACATGTCTGCATTGTCAATGTGCACTCACCTGCCTCTACATACTTCCCCTTCCTACGGGAATAGCTGTTACAGAAAAAATGATCTCTTCAGCTTCTGAGCGACTAGCAAGTTTCTTTTAATTTCTCTGTTATTCTTCCTAATTGTTAAAAGAAAGTCATAAGTTGAGTCTTGAGTAGCATGAGGTTTAAATAACCACTTCTTTGCCTCACCTATCATCTTGCACATGCCATATCTCAACTTTTTTCAACATTATCTGTTGCTTTTAACTTCTAATTTCTTCTCAAATTCTCTTTTATAAACCATGCTTTTACTCTGGCTTGCTACGTGATTTATGCTCATTTTCATGCATTTCCAAATGAGTTTTGAAAGCTCTTTTTCTGCTGTACAAAGGTAACCTCATCGTTTCTCCAAGGCATTTATTCTTAACCTGACTCCTGAGCTAAGAAAGAAATATCAAGGCTACATGAGATAACTTCTTTAACACGCGCTAAGTTAAACTTTTAGTTATGTTTTTAAAAAATTTTAACGGACCTTCTATGGGGAAGATACCATGTCCCGTAACACTGCCGCAGATTGGTTCATTATCAGTTATCAGCCTTCAAGATCTCTACAACGGTAGACCATTCAAATTACCTTAGCATTACCTTTTCACCATTTTCCAATTATAGTCGGGGTAAAGAAGGACTTTTAGAAAGCTGTAATGCTTCTTGTAGAGGAGGCATCTTGATTGGGATGTAATGACACCGACAAAAAGAATGGGAGAAGGTCCTGAGCAATGAAGAACAATATTTTGTTTGACTTGCTGCGACCATATCAGCTAAAATTGCTTTTTAAAGTGATTTCAATAAGCCTTCCTTATGCAGATCAAGTTCATAGATTTTCAGCATTTTCCAATCTTACGCCTTGTCTGAAGTATAAATAAGCTCTACACAAAAAATGAATTGTTGCAAAGCTCATAGTTTCTCGTTTTATCAGCTTTTGTCATCAGGCTGACCACGTTTCATTGCTCTCTTATCAGCGTGATGACTTAGTTTGACTATTTAGGCAACGTACTGCGAACTTCGAGCTCACCTCTTAACTATCCCATTAAATATTAAACATGCTATATCACTTTGTTTAAACGTAATGATAACTTCATCATTTTTTTTTCAGATTTAAGCAGCAATGACCGTGGGTGGACCAACAATCAAACTTTCCAACGGTCAGGAAATGCCCCAAGTTGGGCTGGGAACTTGGCAGGCAAGTAAAGATCTTCTTATAAAATTGGAAGAGACTAGGAAATTGAGCTTTAGTCGACCCCAGATGAGGTGAAAGCAGCGGTAAAAGTGGCCATCGAACATGGATATCGGCTCATTGATACAGCAGCGTGCTATGGTAATGAAGGTGAAATTGGTGACGCAATTGAAGAGCTGATTCATGATGGTAAGATCAAGCGCGAGGACTTATTTATTACCACCAAGGTTAGTAATATCAAGAGGAAAGAAATTGCTCGTATTTCGATCTTAAGAGAAAAGTTATGTTTTAGCTATGGGCGACTCACCTCCACCCGGATGATACAGAGCCGGCACTACGTGAGTCTCTGCGGAAGCTCAAGCTAGACTACGTCGATCTCTACTTGGCTCATATGCCTGCCTGCTTCAATGTGAGTGTTCGTGGAAAGGGAAATAGGTGTTCCATCGTAGATACTTAGAAAGTCTAGTCTTCAATCTCAGTATATAACTTTCAGAAAACACAGCTAGAAAATTCACATGAAGTACATGTTGAATAGATAATTGTCTGGTGAGCCAATTTAATATTGTGTTCCAGCATGAAATGACTGAACACAACAAATCAGTCACTGTCCTTGATATTTGGAAAGGACTGGAGGGAGTACACAATAAGGGATTAACCAAAGCTATCGGTGTTTCGAACTTCAGCGGGGAACAAATTGAGCGCATCATGAAAAGCGCATCCGTGCCTATTCATAACTTGCAGGTATCAATCTGCTCTTTTTTCTTTTCCAATGGCTGATTAGAAATTGCTTTAGGTAGAGCTTCATCTCTACTGGCCCCAACATGAACTTCAAGAAGTTTGCAAAAAACATAATATTTCATTGACTTCTTATGCTACGCTGGGATCTCCAGGACGTGTCAATTTCTCACTTCCAAGCGGAGCGTAAGTCTTTCCTATTTTGATTCATGAAATATCCATACATAATTTCAAACTCATCCAGTAAGCTAGAATGGGCTCCTGCTCCGAATGACCTTGAAGATCCAAATGTCAAGAAGTTGGCCGAAAAATACAAGAAAACCCCTGCTCAGGTTAATAAAGTTTTTCAATAGTTAGTGCATGTAATGAATGGCGATAGGATCAGAAGAACATCCTGAGTCCCATCTCCTTTCTTAAACATTACGAGTTTTTTTGTTTATTTGCTTACTCATATGTTTGTGTCACTTAGATCCTGATTCGTTACGTTATGGAGCGAAACATTGCCGTTATACCAAAATCCGTGAATGCTGGTAGAATCCAGGAGAATTTTAATGTATGCGTTTGCCAATTGATCTAATAACTGGCAGAATTTGAGGTTAGCTTTCTTTGCAGGTATTCGATTTTTCACTTACTCCAGAGGAAGTGAAAGAGCTTGAGTCGACCCCGCACCGTCAGCGCCTTTTCCTCCAAGACTTGTGAGTGTTTCATCTATCGGGAAACGAGTCTTTTTTTACTGAGCCTGCAATGAGAGGGTCAAGTTTGTGGTACTGGTCAAAATTATTGCATACTCTTGCAATCCAGCAACTGGAGGTACTACTCTGGTATCACTGCAAGTGGAGATTGTCATGTGTCATGTAGTATGTGCATGAAATTGAACTTTCCACACAGAAAATCCTGCCTTTTCCAG